CAGTCAAGCTATCGTCTTTTAAAAAGGGGGAAAACACACACTCCGGCCGTCACACACATTCAAACAAATACAGGAGGCAGATAGACAATCGACAGGTTCACCTTAAAAGGCACACCGGATGAGTTAATTACCTGTCTCTAGTAGCCTTCTGGAAGCCGGAAGTGGACTCGGAGACAGACCGACACAAAACAGGAGAATAACACAGGCAACGGCTGTATTATGGAGGTGATCAGGCTCCGCTTGTCCCACTTTCCGGAGGTCCGCTCCGGTCCGTTGGTTCCGGCCCTCCGAACCGGCCCTCCGGTGGCCCCACGTTGGGCGCCAATTGAAATGGAAAAATCAATTAAAGTATTGATTATTTCTTTGTGTATCTGCCCCATGCCAAATCAATGAAACAATGCGTGCACGCTCCCTGAAGTAATTCACACCAGACACAGGTTCCAGGTTGTTGAATAACTTGAGGAAAGTTTATTCAGAGGGGACGGCAAGTCCCTTTTAAAGCAAAATTACATTATAAGCATTGTCAGAGATAACATGGAATAATACATCAATAATTGGTTAGGTGTTAAGTGGTTGCTTCAATGCTCTGCCTACTGTAGGTGATGTCACCGGGGCCATGAGGGTCTCCCACGGTTTCCCGGCGCCATCTTGGTGCACGAGGTAGTTAGTCGATGTTAGGAAGGAGAAAGGGAAGGGGGGGGGAAAGGAGCTAGAAGCTTCTAGCAGCCATCTTAATTATAACGTGTGTGCTTAGCTATATATATATATATATCGTGAAATGAGTAAATAGACATTTTTCACTAACTAGGAAATATGTGTAGACCTTATTTCCACAACAAAAATCAATAGTAAGAAAATGGTCAGGTGTGCATGACTCTCACAAAATGTGCAACAAGTGTGACTACCAGCAAAAGCACTCATCTTAATGTAAATCTCTGTGACAGTGATACACAACACACAACAACTAAACTCACAATAATTTGTGTAAGAACCGAGATGATATAGGTTTTGATCCCCTTGTAAGTATTACTTTGATGATACACTTTAATTTAAAGAAGGAGTTATAACCAGACCAATTAATTATTTTTTTACAAAGTCTAATTCCTATTTATATTTCATATTCAGAAACTTGTTACTGTATGTTTTGTAGATGTGGAGTTGGTTGTACTCATTTACAAAATATGTAGAGTTAGAGAAAAACAAATAGACAACATGGGATGGAAGAATCTGCAAAAAGTGAAAGAAAAAAATTTCAGTGACACTCCAGACCCCTAAAGCACTTTAGCTTGCTGAAAAGCTTTATGTGGAATAGTGTGTCCTACTTTTTTAATTTAGCAAAAGGTGCAGATTTCAATAGAAATTGACATTGGTACAAATTAACCTGGTTACATCGACCTCACTTTCAAGCAGGCACCCAGTCCTGTTAATTCCTGGCTTGGTTAGCTTACTTGAGTTTAACTCAAGAAGCAGCAATTGCATTGTACTTGTAAAGACTTGCCATTGAACTGCACTAGGAGGTCTGTGATTGGCCAGTCACAGCCAAATCTGTGAGGGGTTAGAAGGGGAGGGTTTGTAAAGGCTGCAGACAAGTGATCTGCAGCTTTTACAAGCTGTATTTTTAGATAAATCCTCAATAATACAGGGTATACTTAAATGCATGCAAGTTTTCATTGGGGGTATATCAACTAAACAGTGATTTTTATTTTGTATTTGGAGAGTGTAGTATCCCTTTAAAAAGAGGCATTAGTACATGTTAGAGACTAAAAGTTATTTCAGTCAAATTCTATATACTAGACAATTGTTGAGGAAGCGTATAATAAACCGCTAGAGTTTATGAAACATATCTGCTATAGATATAAAGAAAACTCATGCTGGTCCAATATTTTTTGTGTTCTTGGATCCGTTGACACACCAAAATCTAGTCCGAGAAAGGCGTACCTCAGCTCGAAGGGTTAAAGAAGCTATGGGAATAGGATCAGGAAACTTCACGCCTGCTTTCACATGAGGCTGTCATCTTTTCAACAATGGTTAATCCACACGTGCAGAAATAGCATTCATTATAACCGAGTTGCTGTCACAGCCAATATCTACACAGCTTCAAGTTATTACTGCTCTCCAAATATCTCTGCTTCTGCTGGCTGCACATACTTTATGATTTCAGTCCCCCCTGGCCTGGCAATTCTGTAACGTGTTGGGGGTACACTTGAGAGGATGGGAATTATTTATTTACTGTGTGCTACAAACCAAATGGAAAATTAATCTTTTTTTTTTCTAAACTGTTAAAAAAAATGTTTTAATCAGAAAGCAGGGTACAGAAAAACAAAACCCAACAATTATATTATATATGGTTTATCAAGACAAGAAGGCAAAATGAATGCATGTTCTCTGAAAATCCACTGCATGCCCCAGCAATAGAATAATAAAAACTGAACACTATTGATAAATGTTCTAAATAAGAAACACTGCCTCTATGAATATAAATGTAAAAAAAAATGCCTAGATAGCCATATAGAAGGTCCATATCATTCCTGATGATTCCAAAGGAAAGCACATGCCTTCTCTTGCTCTTGGATACAGATACCGATAAGCATAGGATGGGTAGAAGAAGGGGCTGTGCTGCAGTAGGTGGAGGAGGAAAAGGTAGACAAATCAGAAAAGAGCAGGCATAATGAGACAGCTTGAGCCTAAGCAGGGTGGGTTTCAGAGATAGACCAGGGAGGGCCTGGTCCCAGAACAAATGAGGAAGGGCAAGAGGTGGCTGAGATTCCTACATGACTGTCAAACAGAAAGAGGAGAAGCAAACTGGCATGGACTTGCTGATGTTTATATTGAAAGGGCATCTTGCCTGGAGAACCCTAACCTCAGCCAATCTCTTCCTCACGTTATGAGCTGAAGGCCACCTGGATATATGAAATCAAACATGAGCGGGTTGTTGTTTTAATAAAGCTGATGCTGGCCTTGTAAGAGGTGCAAGACACTACTTAATAACACTGCAAGGAAGAGAATATAATAAAGAGAGAGAGAGAATGTGTGTGTATTAGTGAGTGTGTGTAACAGCAGGGTGCATCAAGTTCAGCTTTTCTCACATCTGTTTGTGCTCTTGGTCCAAAAGAATGCAACAGACAGGACTCAAGGTGCAGACTTTGCAAAAATGTCTCAGAGACAATACAACACATAGTAGAAGTGATGTTAGCATGGACCTGCCTAACTCCAGAGACAGTGGCGGATCCAGAGCCTGATCTCGGGAGGGGCACTTGTAGATTATTTAAATAAATAATCCAGGCACAATAACCACTACAGCTCAGTGTAGTAGTTATGGTGTCAGTAGTGCCAGGATTCCACCCCAGAGTAAGTAGTCATACCGTTTAAGAACAGTTTGACAACTTACCTGGGGTCTGCTGGGATATAGGGTATAGGAGCAGTGGTGTGTGTTAAGGGTGAAGTGTGTGAGTGCGGCAGTGTATGTCAGGGTTGTAGTGTGTGTGTTAGGGGGCAGTGTATGTATGGGGGCACTGTATGTGTTTTTGGGGCAGTGTGTGTATGGGGACAGTGTGTGTTTGGGGCGCTATATAAATAATATAATAATAATAATAACTGTTCTATACTCTTAAAAAAAAAAAAAAAACTATTTTTGGATTATCAAGAAAAAAAATCAACAGAAAAACTTTTGACCCTAATTCTCATTTTCCAAAGCTTGTTTCCCAACAGGCAAGGTCATAATTCTTGCTTATGGTTTACATTAACGTTAATGAAAAACTAATATTTTGCTTTATAGTTATACAGGACCTTATTTTTTTACTACTGATTATTATTACTAGGAATGTGTTCTTACATTAATTAAAAGATCAATTCTTAAAGGACTGTTACTGAGAATGTAAAAAACAAAAACAAAGAAAATGCATTTCATTGACATTTGAAGCAGAGAAAATATATGGGTAGCATTAAAATATCTAACAGATAGATCTATGTTGTCTCCTGGAGATTTATGAAGTAAAGTGTTTGTAGGCACCTTACTATATTGTAAAATCATTGTTTGTGAAAGTAGTGTGCCAAAATATTCATCAACTCTTCTTTGTCAAGCATATACATATTACAACATATGCTGTATAATAACTTACAGAAACTATGATGTAAGTGCTAATGACTGATAATATATATCAAACATATATCAAAGTGCAATGAGTGTAATAATTTGCAATGCCAACAAACTGGGTTCTCAGATCACATTCCCCTTTAATGAGTCATTACTGTCCAGATGTAGGGAAGCAGAAAAAAAAAAGAATATTTGGTCTTTAATCACAATTTCAAGTCACTTTTATAGATTGTGGTTAAGTATTCAGTGCAATAAAAAGAACAATGGATCTTTGCATTTCAACAAAAAAAAACACAAAAAAAAATAAACAAATAGTAATAAAAATACAAAGCTACTGTCAAACATTAGCAATGTTAGTAAAGCCAACATATAATTCAATCATTTGCAAAATTATCTTGTGATAATAGCAGAGTGAACACACACCGTCTACGTTATTTACTAAACTGGGAATTGTGTAGAATTGACAAGAGAAAATTAGATTTTTATGCCTATCCAACGCATGCTTAAACCCCTTTACTGTGTTAAGCTCTACCACTTCCGCTGGAAGCCTATTCCATGCATCCACTTCCCTCTCAGTAAAGTAATACTTCCAGATATTATTTTTAAACCTTTGCCCCTCTAATTTAAGACTATAATATCTTCATCAGGGTATTTACTTGAGTAACATGCTTTTCACAAGTTTGGATACATAACTGGTGAATGGCACAATGATTGGTTTCTTATGCGTCAGGCATTGTCAATTGTATTAGGAAATTAGTAAGTCTGGGGTGTGGGTAAGAAAGAGTTGCTATTACCCTTTCGGGTGAGATAGGGTAGGGGGGTCCCTGCAATCGAGAGGTAGTGCTTAGAAGTCTGAGTGTTGTTTTGTTTTTTTATTTTAATATCTCTATATCTTCCCTGTTGATGACTCCGCCATGTCCTCCTTTGTACATGGTATCCATTTTTGCTTCTGTATATTTGAGGAGGGGTGAGGTTGGTGAGGGAGTAAGATCGGGGTAGGACTTCGTATTCTCAGGGTTGGTGTTGCATAAAGTTTAACCAAGGATTCCAGCACACTGTGATAGGTGCATTTCCTCCATAAGTCGGATGGATTCACATTTCTGTATCCAATCTCTAAGTGTCGGAGAGGAGGTCTTTTTCCAATAGAGGGGGAATTATATGTTGGCCCCTGTCAGGAAACTGTGGGGTTTGGTAAATGGGTTTGGGTATAGGAAAAACAATGAGGCCTTTGGTGAGACGGGAAGTGGAACTTCTGTGATCAATTGGATCAAGAATGTGATTTTCTAGAAAATGTGATTTTAGGAAAAAAAAATTCTCACAAAATGATGATATTGGCCTTTTGGCCAATTTAGTCTGCAATTTAAAAAAAAACAAAGAATAGTGACTAGTGATTAATGAAATATTGAAGCAGAAAATAAAGCATTCTGCAGTTCTACTCACTCTTTTATGTAACAGTACACAATATTAAGCATCTAGAAAGGTACAAAAGATTAACAAAATGGTTTACCAGGAAAAAATATCTAGTTAAACCTTCTAAGTCAAATGTTGTCAATACGCAACATAGTACTAAATTCAATTTGAAAAATAATATGGTAATATTACTGTATAAATACTAATATCCTGGAATAAGGTTAATAAAATCCATCCTCAATACTGGGATATACTTGCCTGGAAAATGTATTTTACGCTTTTGCAACAGAACCCTTAAAACATTGTCTGTCAAAAAAATCACTATCTCGCTATCCCAATTGAGAAAGTATAAGTAACTTGTACATTGGTGTTTACCACTGAAACCTGGCAGCAATCTAAATCAGCCATTACATCTTAATATATGTGTATACTCTGTAACCAGTTTAATTGATCTTCCATGTCACAAGTGATTAACAGTGCAACACCCTCAGAGACAAGCAAGGACATTAACTTGAGGCTTCACTTATTGGTTATTGATTAGTTCATGTATGCAGTACTTTTTAAACCCTTTCCCCACATCAGCCCTGTACAGGGCCGCAATCAGGACATTACAGCAATCAGGACATTACAGGTTGTCATGGGCCCGGCGTGCTCTGGGAGTTCCAAGCCCCATATTGCCTGTGTACACATATACATATAGCAATCTTCAGTATATATGTGTGTACCTGCAGGCCCCGACTACCTGTTCGCTGCAGAGGGGGCCCAGCACACTCTGACTTCACTGCCCAGCAGCTCCTGTCTCTAACTCTCGCAAGCTCTGCGGTTGTCAGATCGTTGCCACGGGTTACCATGGTAACGCTCCACACAGCACGCAGGCCGCGAGAGTTAGAGACAGGAGCTGCTTGGCAGTGAAGTCAGAGTGTGCTAGGAATGCGGACCAGACCAGCAGGGAATGCGATCTCCCCTCTCCCTAGCCAGGTAAGAAGCAGGGATGGGGGGGGATAAAATAAATCTTCCTCTCGCCGAGCGGGCTGTCTGCTGTACCTGGGAGCCGGAATATGACGTCATATTCAGGCTCCCGGCATCAGCAAACGGCACGGCGGCGAGAGGACACAGAGAGCACACAGCTCCCTCGCCGCTTGTTCTATGGAGATAGGCGCCAGACAGGGGGGGGGTGTCCATCACCTCTTGCTCCCCCCCATGACAGGGGGAACACGGGAGAGGAGGAGGGCATTTGGGGGCGGCAGAGTGCCGGCACACCCCGTGAGCACGTCTATGACTACAGACACTACACGAACACTCTGCATTCACTATACACACTCTGCCTTCACTATTCACACTTCATTCACTATAAACACTGCATTCACTACACACACACTACATACACTACACAAACACACACTCTGTGTTCACTATAGACACTGCATCAATACACACAAACACTGCATCCACTACACATACACACCCACTCTGCATTCACTAGACACACATACTACATCCACTACACAAACACACACTCTGCATCTAATATACACCTAATACATTACACAAGCGTACAATCTGCATCCATTACACACACACACCGCATCCACTTTACACACTCACTCTGCATCCACTGCACACATTCTACATCCACAATACACACACCGCAATCAGTACACACACTGCATCCCTGTGGGCGGACTCGGCCCTGCAGGAAGGAGAGGGGTGACCTGTGCACCCCTGTCCAACCTGTCACCCAGAAACTGTGCTGCCAAAGGCAATTACGTCGTAAGGTGGCATGCTTGGGCTACCTTTTAGTAGTGCTGGCCCTGCCGCCACCTGTTTGTGACTTGATATTCTCTTTACAAATTACCACCATTCCTCGTATGGTAAACAACCTCCTATCTATTGGTTCAAAGACAGGTGCACGCTTGATCCAGCTGAATTTTACTTGGACATAAAAGCATTAGCAAGTGACACCAACATTCCTTCTATTAAGTCCTACACATACATATTATGCCAGCCAGAAATGGCGTCTACATAATCCTGTAATGATTCACTAGCATTCAGAAAACTGGGATCTCAAATGGCACCTGTGATAAAAAGAGGCATGACATATAAATATATATATATATATATATATATATATATATATATATAGATAGTAGAGATTGTAGCCGTATTAGTCCAGTGATTTTATCTGTTTTTTATACATAGATAGATAGATATAAATATATAAATATATAAATACATAAAATATACATAACACATAAACACCAAACAATAACTATTTCTACTGAAAAATAATAATCATAGAAAACCGAGCCATTCAATAATAGAATTTAAATATTAATAGTAATGTAGTAATGATAATATACTAACACTAGAAAGACAATGACAGTGAGTTGTTATTTATACCACTTTAGGTAAATTCCCTTCAAAGATGGTTCCGATACTCAGAAGAAAAGGCTGACATCTAAGGAAATAATATGCCTATTGCTAGTATGGTTTCAATAAAGCAATGCATTATTATACACATAAAATGTATATTGGATCATAAATCTTTTGCTAGCTTGAAAAAGAACTATTGACAAGTCCCATTATTATGCCAGAACAAATGCTTTGCAAGGTACCTGGTGATGCCATGTCATAGGTAGTTCATATTTTATGTTCCTTGCAAATATTACGTGACCTCATCATTGGGTCAGGGGGAAGCAGAATCCAAATATATGTTTCATAATAAATGTTCTCATTACAGGATGTATATTCATTGTTGCCAAGCAATACCGTGCCTAATATCCCAACAAGCAAATTCATTTTTTCAACGTTTAATCTATTGCTTTTCCATCTATTTCTTCTACCGCTTTGAAAAACACACACTCTAAACCTGGGGAATACATAGCTCCAAGGCCACATTTCGAAGAGTTCAAATAATAAATAAGGGCTCACAAATCAGTATGCTTTTGGTCGGCTAAACATAATGGGAGTGGTAGCCCAGGGCTTGTAGAGCAATTTCACATTGCAGCACAGAGTGCTTATTACAAATCAGCCAGAAACAGTAGTAGCAAAGCCCTATTTTCTGTTTTATCTACAGCAGGTATCTAAACGTTAAGGCTTTTAATGCTTACCAAATCTGTCAGATGTTATTTTATTAACTAAAGAAGCTATTGTTTGGCTATACTATAGCTCTGCCATATGGTTTATTTCTTTTTTTGTAGAAAGGATTGTCTTTTTAGATATTTATTGACTGGCTTTTGGCCATTGTAAGATTCTGTAAATAGAGACAGCCTATCAGATGAAATCTTTGGTTCTTTTACTGGCTAGATTAAGACTATTGGGCACAATAATTAACTGATTTAGATTTTGTAAGTCAATAACAGGTGTTGGGGAATTTAGAAACATAACTGGGGAAAAAAGATAATAATTGCTGCTATAACAATCATACCGACACAACAGCATGTCTTAGAAATCAAGTCCTCTCTAAATAGTTGAATGTATGTGAGAAAAATATTCAGAAAGACTACCCACCACATGATAGTTCAAACAGAGAACATTCACCGGGATTCAGATTATTACATTTCAAATTATCCTCAAACAGTTATTAGAATGTGGAGTGCCCGAGGGAGCAGAGCAGGGAGAGCTCAGGGAAGAGTGCTCCCTCGCCACCCGCCTCCAACATGAGCAGATGCCAGCCTTGGGGCGGCCGAAAGGTAGCCAGCTGGCCAACTCTTGGGCCCCCATGACAAGAGGCTGACAAGGCATCTGCCAGGGTGTTTGGGGGTAGCTTTTTTTGCCGTCCCCCTCAAAGTGCTGCCCAAGGCAAATGCATTGTTAGTCTTGCTCAAATACAGCACTGCATACATTTGCAGTCTAATGCTCCTCCAACAATTAAACCTACACTCTACCACACTCACACATACCCCTTATACGGCTAGCCTTTGGCCGCCTCTTCGGGATGAAAACATTGCTCTGTTTTTGCTGGAACATTTAACATAGCTGGACTTAGTAGGGGACTGGCTGTGCATCATAATATTATTTACACAGTGATGTCCATTTTATTTTACTATACTAGAGTGTTTAGCAATTCCATGCCATGAAAAAAACTAAAGGATTTATTCAGTGAACGGTCACTCCTACATTTCATGCACCAAATACTCAACTCCTTCCTCATTCAGAAGCAAGTGTATTATCTTTGATGGCATTTTCTATATCCCTAAAGCAAGAAGAGGTTCTGCGGACACAAGGGACTTCATTATAACATTACAAAACGTTCAAGATAAGATTACTTTTCTACAGGCAGTGAAGGGTAAAACATAATAATTCAATGAATGTCAGCACATTTTCCTGTTATGTTACAGACTACTGCTGGGCACTCGATGACTCAGATTCTTCTCGTGACTGCAATTGGGTACACCAAGTTTACTACTTGAGCCATAAAATATCTCTACAGTTCTCTTGACAGATTCTGTGACAACTGGGCCCCCCAACTGACTCCTGATGAGCAGACCAATTTTAGGGTACCCCTCAAGGATCACATCATTTGCTACAGCTACTTCCTGCGCAGAACCACTCTCTACTTTGTACACTTGGAATTTGAATTTCTCCAGTCCTTGGCTTTGTTTAAACTTTCCTTTTACTCTTGGTAATTGTTGTTTCAGTATTTCTTCTGAAACTTTTTAAAATGGGTATTTTTTTCTGATAGCCCTAAAGAATATTTCATGAGATGCCTCATTAAAGTCAGAACATGCTGTCACTCAAAGACCTCAAGTATTACATTTAAGGCTCTTTCTAAATTCATATTTTTGCCCATCACTTGGTTTATTAAAGCCTTATTAATAGCTAAGATATATACAGCTATGAGTAGTCTCATGAAATCAAAATCAAACTAAAATACACATTTATGGGGAATGTGCATATAAAAATACAATTATAAAATATTTTTTAAAAAGTTAAAGGAATTCCAAAATGTAATTCAAAATAGTTGAATTGTACATGTATAGCCCTGCTCATTTTTCTGATGCATATATATTACATTAATGAACATTATCCTTTGTCCTAAAAAAAAAAGCTGGATCGCAAGAAACTTACAACTTTGTTAAGTTTCTAGTTTGGCTATTTCAGCCTGAATATTTTTCACATTGCCTCCGTTGTAACTTTCAATGTCTTAGAAATGTTTCTTTATAGGTGATTTCAACATTCTTCTAGTTATAATGACCATTATTCATGTGCGTGGTGGGAAATAATTCAAGGATCGGCAAATAAATTATTTGCTCTCCAGATTGTGGTACTCTTACCATAATACTATTATTATTGGTATTTATATAGCGCCAACTTATTCAGTAGCACTTTACAATATTTTGAACGGGAGGAGATTAAACAATGAATGAGACATTTAGAAAATGATACCGGAACAATAAGTAGACGAGGACCCTGCTCAAACAAGCTTACAGTCTAGAGTCTGCTATACAATGCAACCCCTGTTACTTTTACCAGTACAACATATAGATATTCATTTTGTATTCCTACCTGAAGATTATATTATAATTATATTTTTATTCAGAATTTTTGTGGATCATACACCTCAAATTGCTGATTTTCACAAGAAACATAATACTCTCTTTAATACAAAGTAAACCATCTATCTATGTTGAAAGGATGTGACTATTGTCTATCTTTAAGCATCTGTCAGGCAGTTTTTTTCCTTGGGAAAAGTTGATTTTCTGTGTCCTGACCCACATAGTTTTTCACACTTTCCTTTTTCATGTTTTAACATTTGGGAGATAGGCAAGCTGTCAGCAGCAATAAAACAAACCTACACATATCACAACATGAAATTCAAGACATATTTTAAATTGACAGAAAAATATGCATTAACTTGTTTTGAATGTCGCCTTCTTTGAGGCAAACATATATTAGCGAGTAGGCTTAGAAAAATGACATCTTTTTTGCTAAGCATAGAAAGTAAAAGGGAAATAAAATCATAAACAGACAATCTGTTACTTACATGAAGACTTTAAATGCAAATACAAATCCTTGGTGCTGCCTAAGAGAAACTTCAACACCAGTGTTTTAGGCACCACGTATGCACAGTGCTATTTCTATACAATATGAAATGTTTTATTAAAGTGTTTTATCAAACACAGGACTGTTTCACCAAATTGTCTCCTGACCCTCCAGATAAGGCATCACTCAAACTACAGAGAGGAGAGTCTACTGCTAGAAGTAAATTTGAAAAATACTTGTACAGAGATGCAGGAATCAGTTTTTTGTTTGTTTGTGTTTTTTGCATAATTACATTTTCTTCTAATTCTCTTTATATTTTATATATTTTCTTTTGTTAGTTTATCAGTGTAAAAGAAAAGAAAATACTCCTTTGATTTACTTAGGGCCATTAAGGGTTCTGTGCTTTATTTGAGGTGTCACAGTTAGAGGCAAAATCCTGGGAAACTGAAGTGTGGCCAAAGTGTGGCCATACCTGCCCTTTAAAATCTGCACCGCTTCCCTCCCTCCCCTCCCATTTGCCAACGTTATATATCTTATCCCACAACAACACAATTTAATCTTCAATTCTCTGCTTTTCCCAGTTTAGTGGATATATGTCTTAGTATTTTACAACACAGCAATACAGAAACCTTACAACAACAACAATAACAAAAGCTGACTCAACACATCAGTCATTTAAATGAGTATAATGTGTACAATTGTTCAAACTTCAAGTGAGATTTTGAGTCATAATACCCCTGCTTGATCACATATTACGTAATGTGCGATAAGTAGTTTCTTCAACGTATATTACTTAAAATGTTATGTATTAGCAATAGATTTAATGGCAGTTGTATTATACCGCTATTAACAACAGTGATGATATCCCACTGCCCAAATTAAAAATAATTACATAAAATCCCTGTTTAGTAGATGCCTGCATATAACAATGATTTTTTTTTTCATTAGTGGTATATCTAAAAAACACTAATGATCTTACCTCTTGTCTGCAGCCTTAGAAAGCCCTTCCCTTCTAAAACACAGACTTTAGCTATCCAATCAGTGGCGTACATACTACGGTCGCAGGGGTCGCAGCTACGACTGGGCCCGTCACTCCAAGTGGGCTGGTCGCCCTGCGGACCCCTTGCGACCGGGTACCCGCCACCATCTTTTGCGGCTCCGGCCTGCGTGGCAAACAGCCGGGGCCACCGTCCATAGGATCCATCGGGTGGCCAATGCTGTCAGGGGGCCCGGTCAGCACTGCGGTGCTTTAACAGCGCAACCGGTCCCCGGTGATTGCATCACTCCTCCCAGCATATAGAGCCAACTCGGGAGGAAGCAGAGGAGGGAGTCAAAGTGGGAACTCTGACTCCCATCAACCTGAGCCACCACTGGACCCCAGGGAAAATCACCCTCCTGTACCTAAAAGGTAGGAAACAGTAGGGTGACAAATATTTTGTGTGTGTGTTTGTTTGTATCTGTGTATGTGTCTTTGTATGTGTGTTTGTCTGCCTGTATGTGTGTGTGTCTATCTGTCTGTCTGTATGTGTCTGTATGTATGTGTCTTTGTATGTATGTCTTGTGTGTGTGTATGTATCTGTATGTGTGTCTGTCTGTATGTATGTGTCTGTCTGTGTGTCTGTCTGTCTGTCTGTATGTGTCTGTGTGTGTCTGTATGTATGTGTCTGTGTGTGTATGTATGTATGTATGTGTCTGTGTGTGTGTCTGTATGTATGTGTCTGTCTGTCTGTCTGTATGTATGTGTCTGTCTGTATGTATGTTTGCCTGTCTGTTTGTATGTATGTGTGTCATGTGTGTGTGTGTCTGTCTGTGTGTATGTATCTGTATGTATCTGTCTGTTTGTATGTGTCTATGTGTGTGTGTCTCTATGTATGTGTGTGTATTTATGTGTGTGTGTAGGGGCGAGAAAAGAGGGAGAGGGGGTCCACGGATCAGTTTCACACTGGGGCCCCATGGATTGTATGTACGCCACTGTGTCCAATCACAGACTTACTAATGTAGCTCAAGGAGAAGTATTTGCAGGGCAAGTGCTCTGAGCAATTGCTACCTCTTGAGTTTAGCTCCATTGAGTTAAACAAACCAGGAAGTAACAAGACCAGTTGTCTGATTGACAGTCAGGTGGGTGTTTCCAAGTTAATTTATACACGTAGTATAATGTTGTTTTAGTCTCTTATAGCAAGATGCTTAATGGTTTCACTCACAAATTTGATGTGATAGGAAAGCCTTCAAGTTGCCTCCCCTGTTGTTGTGGGGGGGAGAGGTAGCCCACTCCTGGTGGTGGTCCTAATCTGGAAGCCAGAAACTTCAGGAACTCCTTGCTAACACAATGCAGTGTCCTTGGTGCGGATACAGAACATGCTGGTAACCTCAAAACACCCAGGGAGCCGTGCTGAATCTGAATGGGAGGCAAGTGAACTGGCAAGAGCAACCTTGCCAATGAAAGCGTAGAAATCTGCGGCAGGCACGCTTGACCGGGACTGATAGGTACGCGTCTTTGAGGTCTAACCAGGCGAACCAGTCGCCTTCTAGTAGAAAGTCTCGCAAGTGAATCCCTTCCATATTGAGATGTCTCAAGTTGATGACTGGGCGAAAGTCTTCGGTCTTTTTCTGAACCAGAAGAAACCGCCTTCGTCTCTGGCATACTGCACATACTTGGAAAATAGATAGTCCGGATTTCATTTTGCCTGCATGACAGTCCGGTCCAGCGGCTTTCAGAGCCAGAAGTGTACAAATCTGTTGAGATGTGTAGGCTCCATTCAGAAGACCGAGAATGTCTTATTGTGCTCGGGTCAAAGAGTGGGCTGCCATGGGTATTAAGGAACAGTCAGTCACCTTCCGATGGGACGGAGTCATGTGTGTCATGAGAGAAAGAGTTACCTGTAACAACCCCCTACCATGTTGCCTGGGAACCGCTACCATTTTGTTTGGTTTACCTTCACCCACATTGCCTGTGCCTAAAGAACCAAGATTATGTCTGGCCCTTTAACTGTTTTGTACAAAGGATTGGTATGTTTGAAATGGCACTTCAGAAACAGCAGAAGTGCTGAAGTAGTCAAAATGGCCACCATTCGACATTCGAACACGTGGCAGTGGCCATTTTAATACAGTCGAACGCGGTCAGCGGTGTGTGCCGTTAAATCCCTGGAACGGAAATCGGCCAAACATTGGAACGAACACCGCTGACCTGTACCTTCCCCTACCCTTCGGCACTGCGGCTGGAGACTTAGTCCCGTTCGAAGATTTGAACACCCGTTCGAATGGGACTTAGTCGCTCTGGTGTAAAATAGGCCATCGAACACCACTGGAACACAACCCCGGTTTCACTTCGACTCTTCAACCAAAGTCGAAGTGCGCTCGACGATTCGAACGCCGCCTTCGGATGGAACTTTTACCATTTTTCAG